AAAGAGTTAACTGCACGTATGTGCAATAGAAGCTTTTAAAATCAAGAGTGGATTGGAGAATGTGATGTGGGAGTGATTAATCTATTCACTTGTGCTTCTTGTAAAATAATTAAAGGACATCAAATAATGGCAGATTCAGAATGAATACTAGGAGATACCTTTTCTACAGCAAGTCAGGTTGCAGGACCTCTTGCCACTGAGAGTACGTGAATTAAAGAAGTAAACAGACAAGTTAATGAAAGAAAAGTCAGTATAAGACTGTTCATGGAGAGATCCTGGATTTGCTCAAGGAAGTCCTTTGGGAAAAAGCTGCTAAAGGCTGGGCAAGAATTCCGAAAGATGTATCACTATGTGCATGCCCCTTTAGACTCATCCCTAGACATCCGCTATTTGCCACTATCAAGGGCAAGAAAACAGCTTATGTAGGTCTTTGGTCTGCTCTTGTATGGTCATTGCCACTGTGCTATACACATACTTGAGATTTGTTCACTTTTAGTGTGGTTCTCAGTAAATCACTAGGTGTTTGAAGGTCTTTGAAGCTATTAACTTCATTTTTGTAAGTTCATCTTTATAATATGAGTAAGAAAGGGAAGATCAGGACTTTTCATTACCAATTCAAACCTTGTAGTAGACATACGATGCTGCAACTGACCCATTGTAATTTAGCCAGCAATTGTATTTCTCTTTTGTTGTTTTTCTGTTCCTCTGTGTAAGAGCCAGATACAAAAATAGACAAAGTTTGTCATTTTCTTTAGTAGTGGTGGATGGAAGCAGCAAAATCACATGCGTGTGGGCCGTTTCCCTAAACAGCACCAAGACTAAGGAACCAATATTAAGCAACTATTTTAGCCCCACTAGTGAACAGACAGGATAGCACTTATCAGCCTTGTCTTCTTCTACCTCCACCCTGCCTGCAAGCCCCTGCTGTGTCCACCATCTGTCCCACGAATGGGGATGACAGCACCTGAGAGGAAGTGGTGAGAGCATGGAGGTAAAAGAGGGAACAACAAATTTCCAGTTCTCTCCCCTCGTTGCCGCTAGTAGAAGAAGCAGTGTTGAAAAATGGAGAGGAGACAAGTTATTTCTACTTTTCTGTAGCTCCTTCTCTCTGCCTGGTATTTCATTGTCTTGTAGACCTGAGTACAGCACTGGTGGGCAGGCAGGAACCCAAGCAAGCACAACGATGTGCTGAATGCTGGAGCAGTGGGGCCATAGCTGCCTGGTGAGAAAGCTGGGGGATTGACTAAATCTTAGACTCCTGAGCTATGGCTCCTGAAGAAACTGTGTGACTGGTCTTGTTACTGTTCTTGGGGAGTTACAGAATACATCTCAAAGAAACTATTGAAGCAAGTAGCTCTTCATGCCAGCTAGGAAGAGTGAGCTGGACTCCTAAGTACTCCTGAGTATTTTTTTCCTTCAGTATTGAAAAAAAAAAAAGTTTCCTATACAAAATATTATTTTCTGTCATATTTTGGATAAAACACTGAAACATTGTAGTTAAATGGAATTGGATTTTAAAACAGAATCAATATTATTTGAAATTACTACATCCTTTGCCAAGACTTTTTTAGTTTTTATGTCAAAATCAAGGTAGGAATTGAACTTGAAGAGGATGTGCCCAGGTTGTTACGTGCTGTGAATGTGATCTAGTGCAAATGCTGTTGACTCTAAAAAAGAGTAAAGGTGATTCTGTTTCTGGTGCAGCTGCTCAGCTGACTTCTTTTTGGTAATGAAACATTGCAGACCAAGGGGCAGTCTAACTAACTTTTATTGCCAGCTTGCATGGTTTTCTTGAACTCCACAGCTACTGTTAACATAAATGTCTTAGCTCATTTTCTGAATTCTTTACTGGAAAGAAAATCTTACTCACTGTCAGGAAATTGTTGACTTTCTATCAAGTATACAGCTGCAATGCCTCAGCACATCCTTTTTTTGTAGATTAAATGCCAGCAACTGATACCATTAATTACAGGTTATATAGCATTTGGATAAGCAGCACTCACTTTAATACTTACCTCTTGTTAAGAGCTGATGTAAAGCACTGCACACAAGGAATCACTTTGAGTCCACAATGCATAAGTTTATACTGGTATTTCAAAACACAGGAGCTATTCTGCATATTGTTCATCACCATCTGCTGGCATCCTATTGATTAACCAGTACTTCAGATATATAAAAATGTAACACTGTTCAACAGTTTCAGATGAAGTTATTGCTATAAAATTTTATGTGCAAGAACTAAGGTGAAAAAATCTTTTCACTGAAATTTATCCTTAGTACATAATCTGTGTGTGTGTGTGTGCTACGAATGAGATGGATGTGAAAACCACACTTGCTACCTCATTAACTCATCATTAGGAAAGTGGAAGTTAAGTCTCCTTCACCTGAAGCAGCAGTTGCAACCTGTTAGGATCATCAATGTTAAGATAAGTTCTTCATAAAAATGGTATTGGTCCCCTACCTTTTATAAAAAATCCATGTAGAAAACAAAGCACATTGTGAAGTTCTCTGTCCTGAACCAAGCAGCTATGGATCTAGACAGATAAAGCAAGATTAAGATGGAATGCAGCATGCTGGAATTTATGGTCTCTATATGAATTTTTTAAAGTCTGTAGTCATGGTAGTGGAAAGAATGGGTTGAATGTTGCTCATAAGGTAAAATTTGAACATCTCACTGATATGAAGAAAAAAGCACTGTGAACAGGTCATCCATTTTTTTTCTATTGCAAAATACTATATTACTGAAAATTTTCCTGTTTGTAACAGGCCATAACAACCAAAAATTATTTTTTATGTATGTGATATGAGCAGAATTTTTAAGCTTATTAATAACTGTTTTGACCTTTAATGCAGTTTTGATAATGCGTCATTGTTATATATATGTGGAATATAACAATTTTTAATGTTTTTGTGATCACAGTAGCTTACAGCTTTGCAAATAAATGATATTTCTTGGAAATGTGCTAGTCCTTACCATTTTGAAAGTCATATTGAGAGGCTGCATTAGCAGTGCAAAGGCTACTGCAATTTATTTTAGTTTACTGTGTCCAGTTCTGGGCTACCCAGTACAAGACATGGATGTAAGGGAATGAGCCCAGGAAAGAGCTATGAAGATGTTTAACGGACTGGAATATCTGATATGCGAGGAGAAGCTGGAAAAGCTGACACTATTTTCTTGGAAAAGAGAAAGCTTAGTGGGCATCCTGTCAATGTTAAAAATTCCTGAGTGGGGAAAGCAAAGAAGACTGAGCCAGACTCTTCTCAGTGGTGTCCAGTGGCAGGATGAGAAGCAAGGGGCAAAAATTAACATGCAGCAGATTCCATTTAAATATAAGAAAAACCTTTTCCCTGTGAGAGTAATTGAATGCTAGAACATGTTGTGCAGAAAGGCTCTGGGGTGTCCATCCCAGGAGATGTTCAAACTCCAGCTGGATGTGTTCTTGGGCAGCCTGCTAGAGCTGACCTTGCTCTGAGCAGGGACTTGAACTAGGTGATCTCCAGAGACCCCTTCCAACCTCAGCTGTTTTATGATTCTCCTACTCCACATCAGCAATGAAAATACTATTACCAGTAACAGCGTATGTTACTTAAATATTGATTAAATCAACAAAGGTTTATCAGGCTGGAGAAGCCATGGTAAGATTTGCATTTAGTTGTTTGTGTCAATAATTCTGAAGTTATTGAAGATATCTTCCAGAGGAAGGAAGAGTATTTTAATTAGTATTATTTTGAAATATGAAATGCTTTAACCCTTAATGAAAGTAATGGCCAGTAAATTTTTTTTTTATAAGAAGTGCAGTGATTTATAGCAAACATTGCACAGTTCCAGTGCAAAGCTGATTTCATGTAGCTTTATGGGAAGTAGTGTCTGTTCACATGAGGATCCAATGACAAAATGGTTGTTTTACAGTGACACAAAATGTTCGGTATTGAAACATGGGAAGAGCAGTTTGCCTATTAAGTCTCACACTTCATTTGATGGCATTTAGATTTTATTTGAATTTGCTGCTGTAGAGATTTTGATATTATAGTTAACAGCAAGTCTGACCTTCCTTTGTTAGATCTATCCGGGCTCGGTGGAGTTAATGCAGGTGATTGAAGATTTTATACACATTGTTGGAATGGGAATGATGGACTTTCAGAATTCATACCTAATGACTGGAAATGTAGGTAAGAAATAGGAATTTCTTCTATCAAATTTATTCCCTATTGAAAATCAGAAATTGCAAGTATGTACTATAGTGTTGCTGCTTCTATTGCAACCCAGATCCTCCTCTTCCAGATTATCTCTGTTGCTTGGTTGTCTCCTCTCTGACAGAACACACTCATTATGACTTACACACTGGACTTCTCCATAATCGTATCTCAATATCTAAATGCAAAGTTTCAGACTCTAAATAAAATTCAGAAAATACTCATCAGAATACTATGAACTGTAGGTATGTGTTAGAGCATTTCCAGGATATACAGTGTTTCAAATGGTAATTTAAAAAATCATGCTAATTAAGTTAATAATGATATACTTAATAGCTTAAGAAATGTTAATTTTGTTGACATTATCTCTTTTAATATTATGTTCTCCCAAAGAACAGTCTTTGCACATGTTATAGTGTGATAGTAATCAACATAGACAGCTAAGCAATAATAAAAAAAAAATAAAATCTGTTAGTTGCCAAAATAATCTAAGCCTATGATTCCTGACATCAATTTTTTCTATGTGTGACAGTTTCAAAATTTTATTCGTGTTTATTTTTTAAACTTTGGTTTTGGCACTAGACAGTTGCCGGTCAATATAATCAAATAATAACAAACATCAAATATAAAGATTGTTGGCAACTGAATTTCTCTTATTCATAGCCATAAATGCTTCTGCAGTATCATAGCATTTTATTAAAAATCAACAAAAAAAATTAGTTTGAAAAGCTACTTTCTGAGCATTTCATCTTTGCATATTCAATTATCTTTCTATAGCTGCACCTTTATAATACCAGGAAAGTATTTGGTAGTTGTAATGTAATGAACAAATTCAAAATATGTATTTGTCTGATAGCAAAACTTCTGGTTTTAGTACATTCTTTCAGATTTTCAGTTAGCATCTTCCTGCATCTATATGTCAGTCAGTTCTTTAGCAAGGTAGAATTAGTTAGAAAATACGGTCATTTAAAAATTAGTTGGCAGAATAAAGCAGGGAAATTGTTGGAAAGTCCCTATTGAAAATCTAACTTGCTGTGCAATAATAAATATTTATTATTGTTGTCCAATTCACATTTAGATTGACAGGACTGTAAACACTAGCCCCTGTAAGGCACAGCCTCGAATTGGAGACATGTCAAAGAACTCACCAAAAAGAACTCTGGCAGTCTTAAAATGCTTAAAACATTTCAATAGGCAGTATGGGAAACTTTAGCTTTTAACCACTGATTTATTATTTCTGTTGTTTACTGTTTGCACTGTAGTACCACTTAAAGCTTCTTCCAGTTGTCAGTCCTTCATTATACTAGACTCTGCACAAATTTGTAAAGAAAAGACAGTATCTTTCTTGAAATGCTTGTTCCGTGGCATTTTTATGACAAAATAAAAAGATGAGCTTATTTAAAGAGCACAGCTCGTGCTTCTTGGCATGTTGTACTGCATTCTGATCTGTTTGTCCTCTGAAAAATGTGGGGAAAAAAAAAGCAAAATGTTTTAAGAAGATGTATTCAAATAATCTATGTCTCTACATATTCATGGCTTCAAATGGGAAACAGCAACAACTTTCCAATTGAATCAGAAACCATGCTGTGCACTGGCTAGTCTAGATAACTGCATAATCTTAACAGTCTTTATTATCTTTCTCTTCCCACATACAAGATATTTTTAGGCACTCAGGAGTAGGTCTGTTCTTAACTGTATAACCATCAAAGGAATAGTAAGAAACTGAGAAAAGTAAAATGAATTTATAGGTTTATTCTGACTACCTAGCTGTGTGCCTTGACATATTGGTGTGAGTTTATTCTCCCTTTGCTCTGTCAGCTGTCAGAAAAGGACAGGGTCACTGCTGTGCAACTCATTGACCAGAATACTTGAGCTCAGGTGACATGGTGAGAAGGGGACTGAAGGTTGTTATCAGCAAGGATTAATTTCTTATTTTCACAAACAGGGAAAAAATGTGTCTGGAGTAATTCAGTTTTAGTGTAGTTATACTCAGGGGATTGATGTAACTGTGTCTGGCTATGTACTTGGAACTTAGGGAACGTTTATGTTGATCTCAAATGAGAGGAATAAACTATGCAGTTGTTGTCTTGTCTTAGCATTAATTTTACTATACCAACAAGAGTTTAAAAATGTGTGAGGTCTTGTTTATAATTTCTAATAACATTCTTGTCATTTAAGTCAGCGAACACATTCCATGCAGGAAGAAGATATGTGCAGAAAGGAGGCCCAACTTTTATGTTATTCATCTTTAAACAGACTATCCAGTAGTTATTCCGTACTTATTTACCATAAAATATTAATAGAATCACAGAATCAATTCCCTCAGCACCTTCAGATATTTTAAATGCCTTTTGCCATATTTTCATTTTAGAATCACTTTACAGTTCAGATATATGAGAAAAAGGATTCAGTAATAAAATGAACTGCTGCTTCTTGTCAGAAAAAAATCCAGTTCTGTAGCAAATTTCACAGTATTGCACTGAGTCCTTGCTTTCCTTCTACTAATTTCAGCTTATGAGTTAATTTCTAATAGAATGGCACTATGATGGTCCATATACAATTTGAACATCTGATTGTGTTTGACAGATATGCTAGTCTCTTGAGATCCTCCACAGATGGAATTTTATTTTCTCTCTTTCAAGACACAGATGCAAGTAGCTGTGGCTTAGCAAGTTACTACACAACAGCTATGCTTCCATGACTGTCCATTGTACATTCTCGGCACATGGGAAGTGATGAAGGTTACCTTACTATATGGTAGGCTATAGCAAGCCACCTTATTATACATTTGGAAGTAACTAAGAAGGTCCATAAGGACAGTTTTCATGCTACTTTTAAACTTTTCAGTGTGGTGGCTTTTAACTCCAATTTTTCATTGTTTCTGAACAAAACATCACAGTCTGGTTCCAAATCCCGATGATCCAATATCGGTGCTTTGGGGTTTATTTAGGCAGCTCAGTCAAATCAAATGCATTTCCATTAAAGCAAGGCCCATCTCCTCTTAGCTCTTCTTTCACGGAAAGAGAATATGCTATGAAAAACTTAACAAATGTAAAAGCAACAATTTGCTCTGATCATGCATGGCTGGGACAGATGGTATATGTTTTATTTGTGTGCTTTCGGTTCTATATTGTATTCCTTTACGAAATGATTAGGTGAAATAAAAGCCTCTGGTAGGAGGTGAAAGCCTCCTTCCTCATCCTATTCCTTCTCCTTCCTCCTCCTCCACCTCGTCCTCCTCCCCAGGACCAGCTGAGCAGGCACAGCAAAAGGATAGTGTGAAAAAACAGGAGCTTTTGCTACCACTGGGTCCCTGAATTAGCTGAAAGCACAGACCTGCCTGCAAGGATGCAACATACAGTGGAAAAAAAAAAAAATTAAACCATATCACCATTCTGTGTTAATTACTTCCTTTCAGTTTTCTCTGTTTTAAAAGGTGAGTTCCTGATTTTAGATCAAAGAATTAATCTTGGCTTTTAACATCCTTTTGAACTTTTTTGGAGAGCTAAAGGCCTAGGCAGATCCACCTCAGGGCTTTGGCTGATTTGGGGTCCCATTGCAGTAAACTGTTAAGAGTTCTGAAAAAATGTATTAAAAGGTGACTGAACTGCTATCAAGAAATATACATCCTTTAATTTTTTTTAAAAATTATTAGACTGGAAGATGGGAGTGCCACAATCGTAACTGTCTTTGAAGATATAGATGGAATGTGGAACTGGAAATAGGGAGCAGTATTAGGAGATACATATTTCTATGGAAGATTAGGATTCTTTTATAAAGGAAAATTTTGCCTCTGTTGTCAAATAAATTTCCTGAAGAACAGCAGCCAAAAAATGGTTAAAGGAGACTCTCTTGTCAAAAATTAAGCTTACAGCTCTTCGAAGATATTAACGGGAACACCAAATAATCTTGAAGTGCAATGTGTTGTCATGGATGTTATTTGGAACTGACAGAAAATAAATAGAATTTTCAGCATGAGAAAAGCCACATTTTGTTAACGTTAATTTGATGAATACTGATATTTGAGTGATCAGTAATGTTCTAAAACATGCAGATGTCACAAAGTTATGTAGACTAGTCAGAGACAGCAAAAACTGAAGATCTCCAGGGGGTATAGCAAAATGAAAAGAAGGGGATATCCACTGGCAGATTAAATTCAGTGTTGACAGAGCATGTAAGAGGGAGTAGTTCAAACCATACATAATGTAGGAATCTAAAAGAATTCAGTAAAATCCCATGGTCACTTTTCAGCAGAGCTCAAAGAACAGCATTAGTGTGCAAAAAGAGCAATCTAAAGAAAATACAGAATTTTAAAAAAAATTTTCAGTAGCCATCACTTGCAATGCTCTTTTCAATTGAGATTATATGGTTGGGATTCATTTTACTTACTTTAAGCATCACAAAGTTTGCCAAAGTCACCCTAGGCTTCATTTATAGTCAGGGGAAACTGCTGCTCAGGACAGCAATTCCTACCATCTTGGACACCTAAAGTAAGGGCTTGGGTTGCCTTCTGGAAGTTCTTCCACTGGCTATAGAGACAGCCTAGTGACTAGCTTAGGCTTGAATGATTCATGTCATCTGAAGCCAAGAGGAGGGGTACTTTGTGAGTAAACAAAACTGTGAACACAGAGAGGTTCAAAGCTGCATGATTAAAAAAAAATAACAGATTGAGAACTGGAATGATTAGAATAGATATTTGAGAACAGATTGTTAAAAGGGACTAGATGTACACAACTGAAAAGTGAATGAAAAGAGAAACTAGACTGACATCTCTGTTTAATCTTGCTCACAGTAAAAATAAAGATTCTTAACTAAACTATACATTAGCTCATTTAATTCTGAATGAGCATGAGACCAAGGTGTTAAGAGGAATAAAATAAAAACAAGTAGATGTCTACATGGTGAATGCAGCTAGCTATGATATTATATGAAAAAATGAAGAGGTGTAAGCCGTGCTTCCATGCATAAATCAGCTT